ACTAACCCGGACAACACCTTCGCGAGCAGCAAGCGCGAGGATATCCGCGCACGAAACAGTGGCTTTGCACGACGCCTCCACAAGAGATTTTATACTGTCGATTATCTCAAATCCACGAAGCGAGTTTTGATTTGGGAAAGCGTTCTTTTCACCAGTAAAAGTTGAGTTATCATCGAGCAGAACTGATGCATCACAACCCTAATGTGGCAATGCAAACAAAAGCTTAGAAATGAAATCAAACATTCTCAGGACAAGAAATTACCTAAGACTGGTTCCTACATTAACGAAGCAGTCATGAAAAAAGAGGCGAAGAATGGAAGCCCCCATGCGAGGTTCATTGGCCACTGCTTTGGCCATGGATAAGCTCACAATGCTCTGCAACTTCGGACAAGTGGTGGCATAGAAGCTAGAGGATGAGAGCTGGGCCTGCACTCTGCAACTGAGCAAGCTCAATAAAAATAGAGAAAGTAACCAGCTTGACATGATATTGGAGGCCATTGGAGCTCTGTCAATAACTAAGAATCTAAGGATGAAGAATGGCTTGGCTCTGAAGAAAGTTCTTTCCCGGAGTTGATATATATAGAAGAAAAAATGAAATGTTATGATAATGTTTTAAATTAGATAATTAATATTCGAAGTTTAAGGGAGGGAGAACAATGTATCTGATACTGTGAGGTATAGGGAATGAAGAGGTTTGGTTTGTGGTCAGCGGGGTGGTTGGTTGACCTGAGCTGGATAACTGGGCGTGGGGTTACCACCCTCCCACCATTGTTTGGGGAAGGAGGCATGTGGACTTCGTGCTACAATGATAATGTGATGGGAATAATATTTTGCCAGAAGACGAGGTTTGAATCTATTTATTGATATTAATGAAGTTGGAATGGTCTTCAACTATGTCTGTTAGACTTCTAAGAGGATTCAACTTGTTTTTAAGAAAATTTTGGGCTCATATGTTAACCATGTTGTTGAGAATTTTGGGTGAAGAAGACGCGAGAATTAAGAACAAACACAAGGATTTAACGAGGTTCGGCAATTTGCCTACGTCATAGAAAGCAAGAGCGGCAACTTTTTGATTTCTTGAAGAGGACATTACATTAGGTTTACAACACAACATATATATATATATATATATATATAGCCTCTACACACTATTATATCCACTTTTCAAGCTATGAAGTATATTGGAGATATCTCAATTTTTTTGCTTAACCTATAATTATATTTTCTTAAGTTTCTTCTTGATTTACGATTGCATTTGTTTTTTCGAAGAAAAATCTATATGTGTTTATTGAGTGTTTTTTGATAAGGCTTTCTAAGTGGTCTCTTAATTAAAATACTAAAATAATTTTCAATTTTTTTTAATAGAGTTTTCTAATTTAAGTGCACAATAATTTGATAAGTTTATTCTTTGTTAGAAACTCTGTTCAAAAATTACTTGCATGTAAATTCATGGACCTTCAATAACTATAACATCGAGGGTCATTTGGCTAAATGGTGTATTGCAATTGGAAGGTTGATGATTTGATGTGGCCATGGAAAGCTTCATGTGAAACTCTAGAAGAATATTTAAAAGAATATATATCTTGAATGAATTGGGGGATTTTGGAGAGGATTTAGTAGGATGATTCAATGAGCAATATTAACTTGGTTGAATTTGGTCATAACTGGCCAATGTTCCCAATTTTATTTCAAATTTTAAAATACAAAAAAAAAATCATATATTTTAGTTGTAAATAATTCAAAATATTCCAAAGTTTATATCTATTAATTTTATATGATTTTTTTAATTTTTTAAAATATCTTTTGTCAACTAGAAGGTGGAGAAAAGAAATTGAGAACTGCACTAAAGGATAATTATGATTTTACTTTTGGACTTTTGGGGTAATAAAAAAAGTCAGTGAATTTATATCAAAATTAATTAAGATTAATTATGAAAATCAGGGTATTTTTCTAAGCAGATTATGTCACGTAAATGCAACCAAAATCCTAGCTAGATAAAGTTAGACAAAATACAAGCTGGCAACCTGTGTAAGCAGTTTAAGTTGTGATTTTAGTGTACTGTAGGGTTTACTCTAGGATTATAAATGGACCTGTTTGTAATTTTAAGTATTTGAGAGAGCTGAATCTTATATTCTGTATTCTTTTCTGAATATTGAAAAGGAGGTCGCCGCTCTGCTCCCGATGATGCAGGCATCTTTGTCGAACCTCGTTAAATCTCTGTGTTCTTCTGGATTTGTGTCGTTCTTGTTTTTCTTCGCCCTAATTTCTCATCATAAAGCTTCACGAATGAATTTTAGATTGGTAATATAAGGAAAGAACTCTTCAAACAATGCTTTTTAAGAGAAGAGTATGAGCTTATGTTCCCATTATCATTTGCTTGGGCATAAAATTTATGTTGTAAAAATTATGACTTGTTGACCACTCACCAGCAACAGCCAAATAATACCATTTGTCAAGACTATTTGCTGATTCAAATAAAGCACCATCAATATGTTAGATATGGTTCCAAACACTTGAACTTATAAGAAATATCTAAATGAAAAATAAAATTTGCTAAAGACTTCTTCTTTCATGTTCTTTCTTTTTCTTTCATAATTGGCCTTTAAGAATCTTATTCATAATTATCTCTTCAAGTAGTGATTATTATTTTAAGGAAAAATACTATCATAATAAATAAATGAAGTGTTTATATTAAAACCATCTTATCTCATTCATAATTATATCTTTAAGTATTGATAATTATTTTAACTAATATACTATCATAATAGATCAATGAAGTGTTTATATTAAAACGATCTCAGTCAAAGCTTAACCAACCCCTGAAATTAAGGAATTAGAGGGCGGCCATTACATCTTAAGACATCTGGAAAAGATCAACCCACATCCCGCGCCTAGCTACCCGGTCAAACGCATAAAAAATCTCAACGCTAACCATGAAAAATCAACTGAAGAAAAAATAGGAAATTCATTTTAAAAACCTGATTTTTTTTTTTCTTGGTTTTTTTATGTAAAGATTAATCGTTGAATTTTTGGGTGGATCTCTATATATACCAACTCCTACAAAAAACTTGCTTCACAACAAAAACATTCCTTTTTCCTAGATTTTCAGGTTTTAACAGAGCTATTATGGCCTCCAACATCATGTCAAAATGCTTACTTGCTCTCCTTCTATTAAACTTGCTCAGCTACAACGTCCAAGCCCAGCTTTCTTCATCAGGCTTCTATGCCCGCAGCTGCCCAAAGTTGCAGAGCATCGTGAGCTCAACCATGGCCAAAGCAGTCGCCAATGAACCTCGCATGGCCGCTTCCATTCTCCGCCTCTTCTTCCATGACTGCTTTGTTAATGTACGAGCCATTCTACTATTTCCTCCTCCCAACATTTTCTCAAAAATCTAATCTTTTATCTTCCCAACGTCAGGGCTGCGATGCATCAGTTCTTCTGGACGACACCCCAACTTTCACCGGCGAAAAGAACGCCTTCCCAAATCAAAACTCTCTTCGTGGCTTCGAAGTAATCGACAGAATAAAATCTCTCGTCGAGTCCTCGTGCAAAGCCACCGTGTCTTGCGCTGATATTCTCGCACTCGCGACTCGCGAAGGCGTTGTTCGGGTTAGTTTCGATATACATATAGATATATACTATATAAGGCGGTAATACTCCATACAGGGCTGTCAAAAACGCTCTCGTGCTTTAGTCGTTGAGAAACTCGTGTTTATCTGATTCACTAATTTAACGAATTGGACATGAACAATGATTTGTTCATTTATGTTCGAATCAATTTGTCTCAAATTATTGCACATCAATTTTATATATATATATATATA